TATAATAAATAATTATATTAAAAAATATAATATTAACTATTTAGAATGTAATAATAAACTGAACCCATCAAGGCATCAATGGTTTTATGTTTAAAAAAAAAATTAATATTACTTTAATTTTTTGTTTAATTTTAGTAATTTTAATTTGATCTTTTAACTTTTTTAAATATAAATTTTAGATAAAAATTTAATAATTTATATAAATAACAATTGAAAATTTTTTCTTTATATATAGTTCTTATTGAACATTTTTATTTGATCGAAAAAAATTTCAATTATCATTTATATGATATATTAACTTTTTTAAATTCTTGTTTAAAAAATAAAAAATAATAATTGAAATTGAATGGAAGTGGTAATAGTGAAGTAGGACTAAAATTTTTTATTATTTTGAACATTTGTCTTTTATTTTAGACAAATCTCCAAAATATGATATTTATAAAACGCTAAAACCAACAACCCCTACGAAAGAATGCGCTAGTTGGAAACCAAATGAATATAGCCAGTAAATTCACGTTTCGAAGTCTAGTCAATTGCACTCTAAATTAGTTAAAATTTAATTTAATTTTTAGATATTAAAATTAATTAAAAAAGAAAACTGAAATAATTGAGAACTCTGATGCAAAACCTTTTCTGCATTTTCTTCGGTAACCCCATTGTGCTGATGCAAAATATTTTCTGCATTTTTTTTCTGGTAACGCAATTCGTTTCACATAAATCCAAGATGAATGAAGCAAGGACAAAACCGTCGTGCTACCTCAGATAAGGATCCAAATTTTTAGGGGTTGGAGCTGTTAGAGAAAGAACCAGCAGGTTTATTTCATACCTGGCCCGTTGTTTTATTTATTTATAATAAGAGTATTCTTAAATTAGTTTTTACATATTTTAAAACTAATTTTTCTTTAAAAATTTTAGATGCACTCTTTATATCTATTTAGTGCATTCAAAAAAATTTTCTTTAAATATTAATCTTAAAATTTTAATTTTAAACTTGATTTACAAGACTACATTTACGTGAATCTAACCTTGAGGTTAACTAGTTTAGTGCTGCTAATGTCTCAATGATGTTATGATGTCATTATGTACACGTTCCGAAGTATATGTAAAACCCCCAAATTTGTTCCCCTACATTAAAGTCAGGAAGTGTAACATTCTTAAAACTTTGTTTAAAACCTATTTGAAAGTTAATTGATGAATTTACTTTTAATAAAAATTTAATTTTTAAACAAATACTTCTAATTTTTGTTAAACACCTTCTTTGTTGGAATGTCTTTCTTGGAACCTCATTCCTGGCACGTTACATTACATGTGGAAGTTCACAATATTTTCGAAACTTTGCCGGCGAACTACCGTTGGGCTAATTTCTGTCCTGTCAGGAACAACATATATATATCAATGGACAAAAATTTGATGACAGATGCAGATTGTTATATGCGAGCAGACCAGGCATTGTATATATGGCAGCTTATGCCCATCCTCTATCAATAAATAGCTAACTAAAAATTATCATAGAATTTACGCGTCTACATGAACTCATACCGTTTGTCGGGCACATTGCCTTCTCCATTAACTAATTTGAAGGCACTTTGATATCACGCCAGTATTAAATTTAATGCACCTTATATTGTATTAATACATGTTAGATTGATATATCAAATATAAAATGGAATTGCAAAAAATTAAGACTTTTTAGTAATTAAAATATTAAGAATAAACTGAAAAAAATTAAAACACCCTTAATAAACCAACCTAAAAAAAGAAATTTATTAAAAATGTTTAAATAATTTTATAAAAAATTTTAACATCTTAAATGTTAAAACATTTTAACTTTTACTTTAATTATAACTTTTACTTTAATTATACAAAAAAGTTTAGTTAATTTATGATTATTATTATTTTTAAACTAAATTTAACTGAATTGGTAATCATCAATTTAAAGTACAAGTATGCTCTCCCTTTCATATAAAAAAAATTAATAATAATACTAATGATCTATTAATTCAAGTGAAAAAAACTCAATTTTTTTTTTTGCAAAAATAAATGTAAACAACCCTTAAGTAAAGTCTCACGTTCGAGTTTTATGAATATAAAAATAAATGTTGAAAAAACTTTCCTTTGTGAGGTTCAACATGACTTAATTGATTCCAAATTAATCAAAATCTAATATAAATATCGAATATTGAGAAATTAATAAAAAAATTGTGAAAAAAAAATCAATTTAAAAACAATACAACCAAAGACATTGCTGTCTTAAAATCCCTAATCCATTGATGATGGTCCCCAGATAAAAAAAAAATACCCGCAGTACCCACTCATATTCCATCTTCTTTGTTTTTTTATTAAAGAAACAGAATGTTACATACATGGTACAATCAATCACACATTCACAACTGCCTCAAAAAAAAATTTTTTTCTAACGACGCTCCTCGGAACTTAATCCCTCTTCTTCCCCTCTGAAAATAAAATATCAAAAGTAAAATGCTATATTGATTTCCTACAAGAGAATTTAAAGCTATTAAAAAGAATAATATGGTACCAATTGTAGGCGAAACCCATAAAATAAGCACAAGAAAACAGGGAGAAGAAAAATCAACACACTAAATCTTTCACTGCATTTTCTCTAGCAATGGAATGAGCTAAATAGACAAAATGCATTAGTTTCAGCTCCGCCTAATATATCCACGTTTAATAAATAGAGCTTAAAGAATACAACCAACTCAAGACTGATTAACGTATAGGACCGGGACCAACCCGGCTAATTTGCCATCCCTCCCGGGCCGTTTCTTCTTCACCTGTAATTAACCGCCACAGGTTAGATATTAGGCAAAGAAAATAAAGTGGAAAATTTAGCAGCATTATATAAACCATATAAGCAGGCTGTCCAATCTTATAATCAGCTGACTATAAATTCTTTGCTCTTTGCATATCATATAACAGACAATTCTTCAAATTGTGTAACCTTTCTAGTACTTACATGGAACCATCCATCTACTTCATAGTCAATTTCTACCTCTTCGCCTGCCGTTAAACTCAGCTGCAGTCAAGAAAAACCAGCATTAATCCTCCTATGTATAGCATCGCATCTAAAACAAAAGAGGTTTCACTTCTGACCGGGAAAACCAATTTAATTAAATGAATGCATCGTAGAATAGAAAAGAGAACTCCCCATTGACTAGATTTCTTTTCCTCGTATATCAGATATAAACCCCAATATCCAGCTTCTTACGAAATTAAAAGCATAAAGAACAGGAACGAATGCTGAGAATGAATAAGTTCTATTATGAACAGGAAAGTTTTATTTTTAGAGGCAAAGCCATGTAGGTAAGTTAGACTAACCTCATCATCTCCGCCTGCAGTGAAATCATAAAGTGCTGTTCCAGATTTTGGATTTCCAGATGAAACACGTTCATCATCCTGGGATTCAAAACTTTGAGACCCACGGCCAGCCAGTGGATTCTCGAATGACTCATACCTATCAGGTGATGAGTATGGCGGAGGCTCTTCTCTTATCTGATAAGACTAGATGATTAGAATTGAACTTTTACTTTCACATACAAAACTAGATTTGGCCAGAGGCAAGGAGCCCTTACAGGAGAACCAAGACCCTCGGACATTGATGAACTGTTAAACCTACCACCTCTAGACCTCTCCTGTTAAGAGATATGCATTCAATTAAAATAAAAATAATAATAATGACAGTTAAACAGTAAAAACGAAGTAGAGGCAGATATTTAATCTGATGTTTGCTCTTCATTAATACTTTCAATCCAGACAAAACCAAAAATTCAAGGCGCTTATCTGCTTTCTTAAAAACAAAGCACCCAATAATTGTGAAGCAAACTTCCACTAGTATTTGAAGCACCTAATATTTATAGTTAAAAAACTCAATTGTCAGCAAATCTTAAATTTCCCTAATTGCAGGCCCATACAAGAAATACAAGTAAATTATGTACATGCACTGTAAAATAAAATTTTAATTATTTAATAAGAGTTCTTTCTACTAAAGAATTGTAGCAAATAAATGATGCCCCATTTGAAGAGAGAGAGAGAGAGAGAGAGAGAGAGAGAGAGAGAGATTGACTAACATCAATCAGTAGCTAATAGATAGTCTCAGAAACCAATCCAAAAAGAATACTTGAAGATCAGTAGACCAACACATTTAGTAATTGAATAAATGTTCAACTCCAAGTCATACATTTTAATCATTGAATTAAGATTATAATAAATGTATTCCTTTAACAATACCGAGGTTTGTGAAGCGCCATAGGTTGATGGCTTTGAACTGAACAGTGAAGGGTAATTCATGCCACCAAAGTGAGATGATATGGAAGTTTCAACTGATCCTGTCGACTCTGGAGAAGATGATCCAGATGACCTCACATCATCTTCCTGCAAATATTAAGGTCAATGAATGTGTACTCTGAGAACTCTGGAAACGCAGAAAGTATGACACTTCAAACTCATTGTTGATGCTACACTAGACAGTCATATTGGCACAATCATACCTCTAATTCTGGAGCCTCTAAAAGTGTCTTGGCCCACATATCATCATAACTAACTGAAGGTCTGGATATGATATTCTCCTCATCAACATCTGGAGCATCAGTGCCAGCACCAGCAAGAAATTCATTTACCTGAATTGGAGACCATGCTTGTTTAATAATACTACACAGCTCCAAAGTTAAAAAGAGAAAGGATATATAATGTATCATGCATAAAATCGAATAACTATGCATGCATGGGAACTGAAATTCATGACAACTCTACTCTCAACATAAATTTAATTAAGCACAAAAAATGAAAGAGATTAAATACCCAGGATGCCCAACAGTAGTATTTCTTAGGTGCCACCCTGTTGATTCTAAGATTTAGTGGTGTGTGTATAGAATTACATCAAGTAATAACAGGTTTTATCATTTTCTTTTTAAGTACTTCTAGTGGCAGTGAAATTTTAATGGTTGAACAAGGTCATATTAGCTTGGAGAGCTTCTCCTTTGTGTTCAGTTTGCTGAAAATAAAAATGCACTAGGGGATGGAACATTTCCATCAAGGGACAGAATATTTCATGGCTAACTTACTGAGCTCCAAAGTTGTGACTTTGCACTGATCATTAATTCAATCCTTGGTACCACCTCTCTTACATTTGAATTTTAAAAATTCTGTACTCTTTTTTATTTTTTATTTTTTTCATACAATTTTATGATACTACCAAGTTAAGGAATGTTATATAAGAGGCTACAAGACCAGCTATGATTTATGGTACTCAAGCATTGCATAGTTAGCAGATAAACATAACTGAAATAATGATGAAGAAATAGATGGGGAATCACAGAAGAAAATATAGGGTAAAACTGAAGTTTCATAGGTAGCATCAATTCAGGACAAATTAGGAGAAGGATTGCTTCAATTGTTTAATTCTGTGTAACCTACACCTAAAAATGCTCCACTTTGTAACAGTGATAGGATTCAGGTAAAGAAATATAAAGGAGCAAATTAATGAGTTCCAAAAGATATCCCAACAAAATGAAGAAGAAGGATTTAGATATCCCAACCAAATTAATTTGAGATTGAACTTTGTCAAGTTTAACTGAATTGAGTTAAATTACAAAGAATGTTTCAGTTTTGAATGAATACTTATGAAGATAACCCATGCTAAACTGAAATCAGATCAAGTAAATTCTTACCCTGTTCATTGCTGGGGCATCGCCAAGGTTTGCTGCCCAAGCACTCACTAGGTCATCATCAAGTGTATCAGGTTCAACAGGGGCTGGTTTTGATTCATAGATGAGTTCAGAAATTCCAGTGGCAACAGCAGGATCACTCAAACCAGTTGATGCACTAATGTTGTGCCGTGTTCGATATATGTCAATAAGCTTTGCACTTGAAAGATTAAGAAGAATAGGGGAAAAAAAAATGAAGGATCAGAAAGTCAGCAATGAGATGATTAATGAGACAATTATAAACATGAAATCAATGAGACCACTGATATCACAAGAGAATAATTACAGCCAAGGGCCTCCTCCCCAAACATTTCATTTGAGTCCTTTAAAAGGCATACAGAGTAATATTTTCAGAGAATGAATCATATTAGCTGAGCCATAAGTCAAATCAAGTTTCAAAGCTGTGTGACATTAGTGCTTCCTTGTAGGCACAATATTGAATATCCACTCTTTAATTACTAAAATTTACCAATATAAAGTCATTGAACCAAAAATAAAGCTGATCAAGCAACCTCTATATAAAGCAGTAAAGAAAAGGCTTAAGAACAAGACATTACTGAGTAAGTGAATCTAGCATCAGACCAAATGGGGCATGACAGATCAAATCAAACTCAGCACATATTTTACTAACGCAGAAAAGAGTATATAAAAAGTAATAAGCATCCACTGTTACTCATTCTCTATCATTATCTAGAATTATCATTGTAAATATCACCTTTTTTTCTTTATTTTCCAAATAACCATTACCATTCAGTTTTTCTTCAAAGGAAACAAACAGAATGCAAATACATCTAGAGTAAATCTATACCTTATTGGCCCCAAAGGTAGGTACTTTGCTCTTGGAACATAACAAAAGAGTGAAACAAGATCCAACAACCTTTCATGGGTCTCATATAATTTTTTAAGTTCATCATCTGTCCATTCTTTATTTGCGTTATCATGGTTGCGGATTTCCCTGGTTAGTGGAAGAGAAAGAGAATCATGAAAGGAAAGGCAGATTGAAATTAACTTAAGCACAAGAAAGTTTTCAAATCTTACTTGCTGAGGTCATCTTGGGCCGCATAAATTTCATCAAGAACCTTAATCATGGGTGTTATCAGAGCACCAAGGCCTGTACCACTGGCCCCTTGATCTTCTCCGTTGCTGAGATGCATTTCTGATAACTGAGACTGCACGCCACCTTGTGCTAAGGTATGTAAAAATTCATATATCTGTAGCCTAAACGGCTCACCAGAGCGAAATGCTATGGTTGTCAGAGCTTGAGCAGCAAGAATGCGAACCTAAAATATCAACATAAACCAGGTAAAATAAGCATGCTTGAAAGTAACAGAACATTAGACATTACTTGGCATATTGAAATACATAATGAATAACAACCGCAGCAGTAAGACCTGGATAAATGACAACCATGCATCAAATTAATTATTTGATCTCTAGGTCATTTGTCTAAGCCATAACCCCTCATATACATTAAATATCAGTGATCATGAAGAAAGGGATATATCAAACAAAAGTTTTTCTCTGTCATTGTGTTAAAGTTCTTTCCATCCTTATCTGAGACAAGCTTGTAGTCCTGGATATACAAACTAAATTGGCAATTGGTCTGAATCTAACAGCCATAATATAAACAAAAGCCATAGCCAAAAAGTTTGACCTCCAGGTCACTTGTCTAAACCATAACCCTTCATATGCATTAAATATCAGTGATCATGAAGAAAGGGATATATATCAAACAACGAAAGTTTTTCTCTGTCATTGTGTTAAAGTTCTTCACATCCTTATCTGAGACAAGCTTTTAGTCCTGGATATACAAACTAAATTGGTAATTGGTCTGAATCTAACAGCAATAATGTAAACAAAAGCCATAGCCAAAAAGTTAAGTGCTTCTAAGAACACCATGGCAAGGAGAGACACTTCCCTGATATGGCACTTGCTGACTGCAAATCACAATGACAATGAGAAGAACAAAGATAAAAATAAGTATTTTAGATAGAGAGACTGATGAAGTGTACGATGGCCTTTTTGGCCCATCGTATCCATTTGTATGGAAGACACCTTTCTTTTTCAAGCAAACAAAATGGAAACATCAAAATAAATTCCTGCAACCATTAGATATCTAAAGTTTAAAAAGAAATGCTGTATGTCTACTCTCTGTGAAGCAGGCAGACCATGAGGATAGTCTGTCTTTTACTTATCATGCAACATTACAAGCATATGTAATACTTTTTAAATCAGTTGGATGCATCAGAGAGAGAAAGATTGGAGTACAGGAAGTGCAAGTGGATAGAGAAATTTATCTTCAAATAATCAAGAAAATAACACTAATGACAATTTTCTGGTTGTATGCATATAGAGAAACAGTTAATCAGACAGAGAACTGAAACTGAACATGTCCCACAAAACAATTATCACAACATCAAGTCAATGGCTATCTTCAGCCAAAAATTGTGAATGGTTATGGATTTTAAGTTTACCTCATCCCTCATGCAAGCAATAAAGCTATTAGCAGGAAATGAAGCTCATACCTCCCAGCTACCACTGAAAGCACATCTTTGAAGTCGAGTCAAGGCACCAGCCAGGGTAGGATTACGAGAACTGGCAGCAGCAACCATTTTATCTGCATCCAACATCATCAATGCAGTACCCGGAGGGGTTGCAGATTCCCAAGCATATTCAGAAGCAGCATAATTTGCATTCTCTCCAAGGAACCATACCTGCCAATACATTTGTTGGAACATGGAAGTACACTCTTAATTTGGCAATAAATCAAAGCCATAACCCATTTAATGTGAAGATTCTTACAGCTGCTTGGACTAATCTCTGCAATGCCAGAGCTGACTTTGGATCAGATGCTGATACCATATCGACTGAGGTAAATCCTGACATTGACCCAGGCTGTGGTGGTGGAAGGTCAAGAACAATTGTGACTGCTTCTAAAGCTGTGTGTTTCCCTTCAGGACCAGCTCCAACAAGACATGTCTAGAAATATAACAGGAAATCAATTAATGACATTTTTTCTCTTTATGGGTACATCTGGGAGGCCCTGGGGGACCAGGAGATATAAAACTTGGACCTTGCCCACCTAAAGGAGGGATAACCAAACCGGAGTTGCTATTAGTTATACCTTTCCTTTTGCCTAGGGAGACACATGGTTCCTTTAAAGGGTCAAGCATATGAAGATAAAGATAAATGCACATTCTCAGTAACTTTAACTTCCATGATTAGAAAATGGATATTAGAGTTTAAAGTTAAATATAAAGGGAGCAACAAACAACTACAAAAGGGCAAACAAATAATTAATATAAATAAATCCGTAGAATGTGAAGGATAATGGAATTCTAAAGCAACATGCAAGTCTCCTTTTGCTATATTTGGGGTTTAAATGAGAAGAGGGATTTCAACATTGCAACTCTATATTGCCAGAAAGGGTTAAGAAAGCAAAATAATTATCATTTGAAATAATTAACTGGAACTTACTTTCCATAGTAGTTGTAGCACATCGGCATCAATCTTCCCTGGAACCTTAGTTGCAAATATCCTTGCAATTTCAAGAAGAGTCACAGCCATATCTGGGGTTGCCTGACAAGACAATGAAATTGAGGTACACTCATAACAATAGGACTATCTTTCTTACATAGGTCTGAACTCCAAAGTACTTTTCTGCAATCCCAAACCCAGGAACCCAAGGACGAATCAAAGTAAAATAAATAGAGTTTTATCATTATATTTAGATATAATTATAAACATAATCCAAAGAGAAACCAAGATTCTGAAGATACACATCAGTAGAAGACAATATTACAAAAGAAGGAAGATTCTGTCAGACAACTTTGTATGCTGCAAAAGCAGAAGATAATATTCCATGCCCATTACATACCTTAAAACGAGCATGCAATGTAATCAGAACATCATTTAATAAGGTTGCTGGCCAAGCTGGATCTGATAGCTCTGATGCAATAATGGATTTTAGTTCATCAAATGATTCATATGGACTTTGCATCCATATCAATGCCTTGATGACCATTCCTCGAACATAAACACATTCACATGCCACAGTTGTTCTCACTACTTCCATCAATGAGGCTAACATACTTGCAATTGTATCCTTCCCACCCACAAGATTAGATACAGAGGTAGCTTTTCGAATACCTGTGCCAAGAGAACACAATCTTAAATTTTAGAAGCTGATGAATTTTAATTTAAGTCTACCAGAAAAGCTGTATTCTAGAAGCTACAAATTTGCCGCCTCCACTTCTAGTTCTCTGAAACTTGAAATTAGCTTCTAATAGCTTCAAATTTTATGGTACAGAAGCTAAACCATACAGGGACCTACTAAAAATTACTAAAAATAATATGAAGCAGTCTAAAACTAAAATAAAAGACAAAGGTAGTGAGTAAAAAAAGCTACCTTCAGGGTGAGAATCATCATTCATGTCTGAATCAAGAGAATCTGCAGTATCAGAGAATGAATTAACATGAACTCCTTCATCAATATCCTGCAAACCTACAGCAAATGCTGCTGCTCGACTTTTCCCCATCTCCTGTACCACTCTTGCGGCTGCATGAAGTACTGGCCTAGAAAAACTACGGAAAGAACTCTCCAACCTGGATTAAAGTTGGAAAAGAAACAAAGTCAGTCAAACAATAAAAGGCACCACAAGAAGCTAATAGGCCACAGAATTAGTTTAGGCATATTTTCAATTACCAATTACCCATTTTATAGGAAAAACCCCCTAGATTGAATAGATTGAAATTGAGAAAAGTGACCAGGGCAAAGACGATAGGGCTATTTCAACCTTCTCATGACAAGTTTAATAAGGGGCTGTGGACGCCTCGTCTTTTGAGATTTATCTTTGGAACTTGATGGTGGTTCTGGTAACTTCAGAATCTCCCTTGTCAAACGGTACCACCCAGTTGCACGTTCTTCAGTCCTGCCGTGGCAAATGAAAGTTTAACCATCCTACCACTTAGTATGAGAAAGAGGGAAATTATGACACTGTAACTGCATGGCTAGCAACAGAGGTGTCTGAAAGAAAGGCAGAGAATAAAATGGTAAAAGAAACCGAGTTACCTCTCTGTGTTATCATATTTACCCAATATACATAAGATTGCCTCAAAGCAGACTCTTTCACTGGGGTCCAGAAGGAGTTGATATAGCACAGAGTTGAACTGAGATCTAATGTCGGGCCTCTCTATACAAGACAAAATTTCCAACCAATCATCAATAAATTCAACAAATACCACCGAGTTTAATGCAAAAGATTCACATTCACCTACCATCTAATGCCCGAGCACGAGATATACTATGGCACAACTTGGCTAATGAAACTCTAGCAAGCACATCATGTAAATGGAGGACATCCTGCAAAGCCCCTGATTCATATAACAACTATATTAAAAGTGGCAATAGAAAAGTGATAAGGTTGTCAGAGAAATGGATTCCAAAATACATTGGAAAATCACTGCATAAATAATAGAAAGCATGCTACAATTCAAGGTCTACATAATATATGTATGATAATTAGAGTGCCACCTATCTTCTCTTCAACCATCCAACTCAAGAATAAAAAACTAACAACAGAAGAAGTCACTAGAGCTTTAACTAAGGAAAAGGCTTACCAATTATTAAATATATTTTCCTTGAAATTGTTTTGAACAGATTCAAAGTTCACAAACATCAAAATTTATAAATGCAGTGCTAAATGAAACCTGTTAAAATGGTGGTTGTAGGTACCAAGACACTTTGACAGATTAAGATTAAACTTTAAAAAGAGACTAAGTACCTCCAGGGGCAGCCAGCTTTCCTGCATAAACATGAAGAAGGTAAAGCATCAATAAAAACACAAGCAAGCACAACATGTCAAAAAAAGTCTGTGAAACCAAATCCTATAAGAATGACAAAGAGGTAAGGAGGTAACTCACCTAAAGCCATTGCAACTGCATAAGGGTCTCTTGCAGCCAGCTCAGAGATAATTTCCAAAGAGTGCCTCACAGCCACAGGATCGGCAAATGAAATCCTGTACTCAAATATGGATTCTCTTTAGAAGTGAACAAAAAATGGGAGCAATATGCTACGGCCAAAGAGAATGCTACATATTACTCAAACTAAAATTTTTTTGGAACAAACCTTGCTCAAACTAAAATTAACTACAATAAATTTATGTTGATCCAAACTGCAAACAGGAATTAAGAGAACTCACCCTTGCACAGCACGATGTAAAAATGCTGGATTTCCTGGATCCAAAGGGAGCCTTCTCAAAGCACTTAAAGCAGCATATTGCAGATTACTCCGGATGATGGACTAGTAATAATTAATATAATCAACAAACAAATATTAATAAGGAAATGTACAGTCGTCCCTTTTTGTATCATAGAAGGTGTGGACAGTGCAGTTCATACATATTCAAAGAAGAGAATGAAAGTATTCTACAGGTCAACAAATTATTAAGTCTCAACATTATTAAGATATCCAATAGCAGAAACCTCTCCTCCATATTATGAAGTTATAATGTCATATACCTCAGTTTTACACCTAAAAGCAAACAGCCTGACAAAGTTAGTTAGGATGTCACTTTTTTACTACTTATACAATTAAATTGATTAGCAATGGCAGCTTTACCAAGGAAAAGATGAGCTTTTGTATTTAGTAGTAGTAAAATTATGTGCAAAAATCAACAATAATGATATGGCTGATTCTTGGTGAGATTTCTACTGTTTCCCATTATCAGTTCAGAAAGACATTCAGTGAAGATTTAATACTCCCTTCTGAACTCAGTAATCACAATTCTTTTATTGTTATTACCATGACTAGCTCCCCTTAGCTCAAGAAAGGAGAAAATGATAGGAATCTTAGTCAAGATGTTCAATTTATAACCATACTGGCAGTTATCATTTTTCCATTTGAATAATTTATACTTTATTATAGGGATTGCAACTCAATTTTATCTAGTCTTTCTTCAGATAACGTTTGGATGTTAATTCAGTCTTCAGGACTATTCTTACTGACAAACTACCCACATCAATGCTTGATCCAAGCAACATTCCCTAACAGACTAATGCTGCAAAAACAAAATCATTTGTCCACCACCTATAGAGATCAAGTGATCAACACAACAAGGTAAAATTGTAACAATGACAACAATAATGTAGGAAAAGTAAATGTCATGACCGTAAGGGAAGAGCATACAAGTCATCACAGTCCACCAACACCAAGTACAAAAATTTATCACTAATGAATCTGGTAAACATCATATGCTCTTACCTCCTTATCAGCACCTTTTCCAAACATGCCTTTCTTCTTTTGTGGGACATCAGCAACCTGAAAACCAATTTAAAAATCTATAAATTTTTGAAAAGAGAAGAGAATAATGTAATAAAGTAAACAAGTCCACATGGTTCTTAGATCTTTCAACAAAAAAACAGCAATCCTACAAAATCTTTAGAAAAAGAGTGATTGAAAAACCCCTACTGGTAAACCAATTACAAAGCAGCATTACTCAAAGGCCTCAAAATTAATGCAAATCACTAAAAGAAAACTGATATTTTATAGTCACTGGTGTTTCAAGTTAAATATCCCCATAAGAAAGGTAATGGAGACTAATGGGGATAAAACAACATAATGGAAGACTTCTTTAAGATACAGCTGCACCAATATTGGTCATCAATAATCTTATCATGTTGAGATCTCACCTTGAACCCCCTTGATATCACTTCCCATACATAGTTCCCATGTGAGCAATTTCAGATCACTGCTCAGACCATTATTCATGTTTAGCTAAGGAGTTAACTTTCTAGATTTCATGTCCTCACTTACAGGATGGAAACATTTGGGATTCTCAAGAATCTTCCATGTTTTCATAGGCCTTTCAAGCCATTTAATGCTATCAATCCTCCATGACTCCACTGACCATCCTATCCTTTTAATCATAACTCAAAAATCAATATAATAGACTTTGTCAAGGAGCAGAAATAATCTGAAGTGATGCTCCTAGATTTTCAGGTCATAATATGTTTTTTTCTTAACCCAAAAATTATTAAAAAAAAAAAAAAAAACCCATAAATGTTCACCATCCAATATATCTCAGATGATCTTTTCCTTGACCTGTACAATCATCCAAATTTGATTAAAATCAACTACATCTGACTTTGAGCCAAACAATGCAAATAATGGTTGAAAACACCACAGGCTTCTGCTCCACACAACAGACTTACAAATCACTTTCCTAAAGAATTCAAAGATCTGTCTCCAGGATGTCACAAAAAGAAATAACACAGCATCACAATCAAAGTATTTGTGGAGAAATTTGTGAAGGACACACCTTATCAAGAATGTCAAAGACAATTTCGTACAATTTGGACAAAATTTCAGTGTTGCTTGAAGGAGCATATGTTAGAGCCTTCAAAGCTTGTAATCTCCGCGCATGAACTTCAAAGATTATAGATAACAAAAGTCAATAACAAGAAAACTTGCAATAAAAATGGCCATATTTCCAGCAAAGTTTAATTTGTAGGAAAGTAGGTTATATATTAAACAAGCAACAATAGATCGGAATGAAACAACTTTACATTCAACATCGCTATTCATAGCCTCTGTTGTAAGCTGATTTACTATCCGTGGCACAACATCAGCTCTAGTCACCCCACCAACAGCATCTATATCAGCCAGTGCATCCCAATTTGGGGTTGGGATCCCACCACCTGGACTCAAACCTTGTGAACCAGTGTCTGCTAAAATTCTAGCCAAGTAATAATAGACATAACGCAGGACACTCCTATCTTCACACTGCTGATTAAGCTGCACAGTAGTGAGAAGTATCAATAAATAAACTGGATGCCATTTTTATTAATCCAAATAATGTCCTTAAAATGCTCTAAAGGAAATATGGAAGGAGATTCATACCATAAGAAGAGATGGAGCCAAAGAAGGATCCACTGAATTGTACACAGCAAGCTTAGGAAAAACATGATGCACTAACTGCTTCTGGGAACTTTTCTAATCACAAATACAAAATTTTCAGGTAACAAAAGCATTAGTCATAACACAGAGTGAAATTCAAAGATAACTTTATGAAATAAAACCTTCAATGAATTACTCCTAACAAAGCAAGAGACGATGTCTACCTGATCTGAAGTAGCAGCTAGCTCATGTATACTCCTTGCAAGTTGAGCATATGATACTGGCTGCAAAAATACAAAACTAGCATTGAATTGCCAATTGCAAAACGAAGACCAATATATTATCATCAACCGCAAAAATATCGCCATATACAACCTACGATTACAAAAATAGAATTGAAGTGTAAAACAGCGCAAACGAGCAAGAAAATGAAGGAATATATCATAACAAGGCAATGTTAAAGGAAAGGAAAAAATTATAATGAAAATTCCGAACTCCACAGGTCTTCTTTCCAACAACAATTCATCTACCTTCTTCTTTTGTTTCTGGCTGTGGTGCGGAATGATGTTTGCACGGACGGGATTTAGAGCAGCCTTGGCGGCAGAAATTGTATCGCTCTGAATCTGCAGCAGAGACGACCTCCTGGACTTCCTCTCTCCCAACGAGGTCTTCGACGACACCTGCTGCGGTTGATATGGCTGCGAAGCCACCGTCGATGAGACAGTCGCGGAGGAAGAAGTAGACGACGCGGCGGACGGCGGCGGCGGTGCATCGGCCGTGATCAGATCCATCAGAGTCGTTCCGGAAGAATCCTGAAAGGAGAAGAGGATTAGAAATGTGAGCTCCATGGGAAATCACAGTGTTTGGTTGAGGAACTTACCGCCATGACAGATGGATTTCTCTGCTACTTCTCTTCAGAATTGTGATCCAAAGAACCTCCCCAAGGGGATCTTGAGATAGACTGAGAAACAGTTTCCTTTTCACTTCTTGTTTCCTTCAAAAAAGTATAATTAAAATTACGATTCGGGTCGGGTACTGTTTGTCTGAAACTGGGCCTGATGTTTACTGTTCTTGCCTGGCAGTCTGGCACATGTGACCCAACCCAATTTGTTGATCCAAGTGCAAATCCCGTAGACCAAATGATGTTTGGGTGGGAGGACAAGGAAAGGCAGTCTTCTTGCCAAGCAGGGAGAAGAAAAGGAGGACAATTCAGTACTTGAAGAAGTTGCAGATCTACAATTGTCTCCCCTTGCAGCATCTAAGATCTGAATCTACACGAATAGGGTTACTGCTTTCTTTGATTGATGAGATTTCAGCTTGCTTTTTCTTCAATCTGTTTGGTTCCCGAGAAAATGTGTGCATGATTGTAAGTTTTCAAAATTTCTCCTTGTTGAATCTACGTTTTGTGTTGTTGAATTTCATTTGATTTGAATATAGCGGTAGAGTTTTGGGACATTGCATTGGTTGAACAGGATGGCGGATGTTACTACAAACAAAGTGGTACTTCAGATTCTCTAGCAGATTCGATAGTTTTTCTTATTCATTTACTCCAAAAGATGTTTGATTGAAGCTTTTGTTTTCGATGTGTGCATGGTAATGCTTATCAGGAGACAACTGAGGCCCCTAAAAATGTATTTGATTTGGGAGCATTTGTTGGGGACTTGACTTTTGAGGAGGATGCCAGCAGGTAAGTTATTCCCACTTGGTTGATCGGGATGGAAAATTTTACAAGACCTTAGTAATCTGAAGAAAGATGCTTTTTTTTTTTTCTTTTAAATCTTTTATAATGCTCGACTGTGCTGTTTCTTTGATGCTTCGGTTGATCTGAAAACAAATTAAGCTTGTATTTATGGGTTATTGTATCATGAATTATTGTTCCTTTGATCTGAATACTTCACTCTGAGGAAAATGGGTCACTTGTTTTTTGTAGTGATGATGTATCATTGGATGGGCTTCAGCAAGAATTGGAAGAGTGCAAAAATGATGATGTAACTGTCCTTGCGCCAAAGTTTAGTGTACAGAAATGGTTTTTTTTTTTTTTCTCTCTTCTTGAACCATGTTTCTTGAATTGGATTGCTTTGGGTTTTATGTCTAGGTAGTTGTAAATATTTTGTCTAAAGGTACGAAACTAAGGGAGCACACAAAGGGGGTAGAGAGCAACCTACGTCAAGTTGAATTGGATTCAATTCAGGTTTGTGGATACTTTCCAAAAAAAATTTTGATGTGACTCATAGTTCTTTGCAAATGATGGATGATTCAAATAAATGCTTCCAAGTTTTTCTTTGTCTATGACTATTTACCTGATGTTGTGGTTACCATGGCATATTGTAAGCAATTAAGGTTTTTTTTTTTTTTTTTTTTGTTATTTGTTCTGTGTGGCATGAAATGGTTAGTGCTGCCTTCAGAATAGAAATTTTATTTTAATTCAAACTTGTTAGCTTATTCATTTTTAATTTGTTGGATAATATCTACAAATGCTTTTCTTAAACTTTAGTGTCCATGGCAATTTAGGGTCTTATGGTGTAAGGTTGACATTTTTCCAGGCCTTTCATAGAAGTAATAGAAAGCAAAATTCTAAATAATTTTCTTTAGTATTCTGTTTCATTGTACCCATATTATCACTGATTGACTGTATTAAACTGTGTATTGACATGGTACAACTGTTACTATGAAACAGGAGTATATAAAAGAAAGTGATAATCTAGTCTCTCTTCATGATCAAATCCATGAATGTGATAGCATTTTGTCACAGATGGAGACCCTTCTCAGTGGATTTCAGGTAAAGATGGTGAAATGTAATTTGACTATCGGGTGATTATCATGCTTTATGAAATACATCATGTTTTCGTTACCACCTTTATGGTTCATAACTAATTCTGTGTAAATAGTGAAGTTGCTCACATGACACATTGATGTTGGACAGATAGAGGGATATGTTTGCTCAGCAGTTGATGAAGCTCATGCTGATAAACTAGGTTTCATTTTTCTTGTTGGCAATTTTGTCTGTGATGAAAGGATTTTAGGGTTAATACATGAATGAAGAGACAACACTTCAAAAAATGTATTAGCAAGGAAGGAGGATAAGAATCTAAACATTGGAACCCTAGGAGAGCTATCCCTTGGACACACACTGATTGATAAATGTTGGATCATTTGTCTTTTGCTTATGACTTTTTAGTTAGTCTTTTACGTTCTTTTTTGGTCAATTTTAGCAAAGAGGGTTTTGCCTTTCTCTTATCTTTTTGTTGTTTACTTGCCTGTTCTGATTGATTCCTTTCTTTGTTAAGAATCATTAAAATATTTCAAAAGTTTCATGCCAGGCTGAGATTGGTTCTATAAGTTCAGACATAAAAATTCTCCAAGAAAAATCAATGGACATGGGTCTGAAACTCAAGAATCGCAAGGTATGAGTATTGTACAAAAAGATCTATTGATTGTTTGCCTTGCTATTTTCAAATAACATATCATTAAAAAAAAAAAAAAGGAAATTCAAATAAGATATCATTGGTATTCGATACTTAGGATATTGATTATTTTTGACTTCTTGTAACTTCACATCAAAATTTGCATGAGAAACACTTTAATTATGTCTCTGCCTTCTCTAAAATATTCTTTCTCTTCAATTCTAGTTCTCTTTTCTTCCAGATATAATACTTTTTTTTTTTTTCTGTCTATGTTCTTCCAACAGGTAGCGGAATCAAAGCTGGCAAGATTTGTTGAAGATATTATAGTCCCTCCAAGAATGGTTGACATAATTGTTGATGGGGAGGTATTGGTGGTTTTCATTTTATCATTTCTTCGATGCTGACCCTGTTTCAAGTGTTTAAAAACAACTCAACTAAACCGTAGTCTCAAACTAGTTGGGTTCAGCTAAACAATCCTTCCCCTCCACTGTGTCTGATCAAAGGGCATCAAACATGAAGCATCAGAATAAATGCTTGAGCTTGATTAACATTATATCTAAGAAAATGCATCAGAATAAATGTTTGAGCTTCTCTTCTCTCTCTCATCTATGTTCATATTTCTTTCTCTTATTATCCTCTTAATTATTTATTTATTTTCAAAAGGCTGCAGTTCTGTAAAGCCTTTTAGTATTTTCCTGTCCAGTTAATTTAAAGTTTTAAAAGTTTATATAACATTGTAAAACAATAACATAAAGTTTAAAAATTTATAATCATGGAAATTTGGAATGTAATGTGTCTCAGTTCCTTTCTTTCATTGCTTCTAATGTACTCGCTGTGGAATTTTACATCTAGGTCAATGATGAATATATGAGAACTCTTGAGATTCTGAGCAAGAAGCTGAAGTTTGTTGAAGTGGATCCTACGGTGAAAGCTTCAAAAGCTCTAAAAGATGTTCAACCTGAGCTTGAAAAGCTTAGGCAAAAAGTGGTTTCTAAGGTTGTTGACTTGACTTAAAATGACTGATTGGTGTTGATTAATACTTACTCATAGGATTTTATGTTTTGCTGTTTACCTCAATTTCCAGGCTTCTTTGTTCTTTCTATCAAAATGATTTAATTCAACTCAGTACTTGTGAAGCAGAGATTTGGATGTATAATGTCCTGGAATTCATATTTGTCCTGGAATTCATATTTAAGTGAAACTAGTTTTGTCTTAAATTGTCGGATATCTAATAGCAGTGAGGCAGGGAATAATGGTAATGATAAGATGTTGGTGATCTGTTGCTCACTTCTTAACCATGAATTTATCTTTCTGTAGGTGTTTGATTTCATTGTTCAAAAGCTTTATGCACTGAGGAAACCAAAAACCAACATCCAGATCCTTCAACAAAATGTGCTTCTAAAATACAAGTGAGGTTTCTTTACATTTTTCATAATTTTGCATATATTATATTGGTAATTAAATGTTATAACACATATCCATTTCAGCATTTGAAATACAAGCAATTCTTTTATTTATTTCCAAATTTTTATATTGAAAAGAATGTTCCCTTTGGTGGTCCCTGAATGACAATATAACCCTGCAGCTCTTTTTAACCTAGTATTTGACATTCTTTCAAATTCTTTTTTAAAACTACAAGCTGCTAATGACATGTTCATTCCCCCTATCCCCTCCCACACCCATACACGTACATAGTGGCAATGTACGCATCATATCCATGGTCAAACATGCTAATTTTAACATGCGAGTATATCTCTCTCTTGTTCTAAATGGCTATACGCCCTAATGATGCATCATCCATGAATATCTACCTCTGGCAGTTTTGTAATTGAGCTACTGATCGGAAGTGTTTTTTATTTGTGCTCTAGTGTTATGTTGTAAGGTACTTAGATGGCCCTACTTGACTCACCATTATGCAAGCTTTCTCTTAATACCCCCTTGATTTTGTGATTATTTTCCATAATCTAAATTCTAATGGAAGTTGATATGAAACTTTTAGGTATGTAATTTCATTCTTAAAAGAACATAGCAAGGAGGTCTATGGTGAAGTTCGTGCAGCATACATTGACACAATGAATAAGGTGAATGCTTTTGGCTTAAATTTTTTTCCCTTCAGAATTCTAAGTTGTCTGTTTTAGTTTCTTCTAAGTTCTATTCTTCTTTTTTATTTTTCTCCTTGTTTCTTTTATTTCTTTCCGTTTTTTGTTTCTTACATTTGCTGTTGTGCTTTTTACAGGTTCTAAGTGCACATTTCCGTGCTTATATTCAAGCATTGGAGAAATTACAGTTAGATATAGCAACTTCTTATGATTTAATTGGTGTGGAGACCAGGAGCACTAGTCTATTTACAAGAGGAAGAGAACCACTGAAAAATCGTTCTGCTGTTTTTGCCTTAGGGGATAGAATAAACATATTAAAGGTTTGCATTTCGGGTGCTATTTTGATATCTTGCATCTAGTTTTGGATATTGTCTTTTATCTTTGGAAGTGGATAAAAAATAGCTCATTATACTGTACTCATTCCTGCTTTAGAGAAAACTTGAATGCATCTTTGTATTTGATTCCATTTCATGGTTTTAGGAATAAGGGTGGATTTTCATTTTATGGATGGAATGGGTTAAAGTTTCTCCTTGCCAGTTAAGCTTGTATTTTTGTCTCTGCTAAGATCCATTCCTTTATTTGCAAGCTGATTACATGGTTTAAATTGTTTAACTGCATTCAGGAAATTGATCAGCCTGCACTAATTCCACATATTGCTGAGGCCAGCTCCTTAAAGTATCCTTATGAGGTCCTCTTCAGGAGTCTGCAGAAGCTGCTAATGGATACAGCGACTTCCGAGTACCCTATAATTGCTCTGCTCCTTGATTTTGCTTCTGATTGTCCACTGATGTGTCCGTAGGCATTCATGTTTGATCTTTTTCTCCTGGTCATGCAGGTATCTTTTCTGTGACGAGTTCTTTGGTGAAGAATCCATATTTTATGAAATTTTTGCTGGTAAGATGTTAATTTCCTACTAGGGCACTAGAGTTTTACTTTTGGGCTTGCATGGAAGCTTTTACAATAAATATGTTTTATGCATGGTTCATTGTATGATCAGCAACTGTCATGTAGTTAGGATTTACAACTCTGCAGCTCTAAATCTATAAATTAATTAATTTATTAATTAATAAAATTAGATAACCAGTAAATGGCCAAACCCCAGAAAAGGGGAAAAAAAGTAATATCTAGTGTTGAAAACTAAAGGACATAGGATTGAACATCCTTATGCTATCCTTCAGTATCACTGTATGGAGATGTTGCAGCATGATTGCTTATTTTCTAACATATCTTCAGGTCCATTTACTGTCATTGATGAGCACTTCAATTCTGTACTTCCAAATAGTTATGATGCTATTGGCCTGATGCTTATGATCCGCATAACTCACCAGCACCAGGTGATTGGTAGTTAATAATGTAGTTTTTATACATCCTGAATTATAGATGTATAAAAATGCATTGTTTATATGTTAAGTAGTCTTTCACTTTTCCATGTCGTTGGCCACTGTGGCTCTGCAAGTACTAGTTAGTTACTCAGTTTTTGCCCCTTTTTCAGCTTATTATGTCACGGAGGCGGATTCCATGCTTGGATTCATATCTGGATAAGGTCTGTTATCTTCTGATTATATAATATGTGAAACACTTGGTTTCCCTTGATTCATGTGTTTCACAGACAAACACTTGTAATTTCTTATGCCCTCCAAATCCCATTAGCAACTTCTGTGAAGAGCCCTGGATGATTCACATGGACATGAACTTAAACGTTAAACTCAAATACAAGTTTACTCTGGTGACAATAATACATTGCCATACAAATCACTAACTGAACTAAAATTTTGGGGATTAGTATTTAGAGGAATTGTCAGTGGAACTCTATTTAGGGATCCAAATATCTGGATACCCATGTTATCCAAAAAAAAAAAACCATTTGTGGATGACAGTGACAGTTTTTGTCCCCTACTGCACCTGTGTCCTTTGTGAACATAAACAATTATGAGATGAGTCTTCCTCTTTGTAATGGCAAATCTGATTGGAAAACAATCAACTTAATCTGAGCAGGTTAATATATCTCTGTGGCCTCGGTTTAAGATGGTATTTGACATGCATCTCAACAGTCTACGAAACGCAAATCCAAAGCTGTTGTGGGAAGATGATATCCATCCTCATTATGCTATGAGGCGCTATGCTGAATTTGCGGCTTCTCTTATCCACCTTAATTTTGAATTTGGAGATGGGCAGGTGAAATTCATTTTGAATTCCTGAAATGTTCTTTTACAATTCTTTTGATGATTTGCAGTCATTCAAAACAAGTACTTCTCGATACTTGCAGCTTGAGCTGAATATGGAACGACTGAGAATGGCAGTTGATGACCTGCTTATGAAGCTGGCAAAAATATTTCCAAAACCAAAATTACAAATTGTGTTTCTTATAAATAACTATGATATGACAATTGCTGTGCTGAAGGTAAAGATTGGTTTTTGTTCTGGATTATATTAAAACTTCACTTACAAGTCTACGAAGAGTTTGAAATTGTTATAGCTGAAGGGAAAAATTCTTCAAGATGTTTTTTTGCTTCAAAATTTATTTTTAACCTCTTAGGAGAGTATCTATTGAAGACCACTTGCTGTAGACCTGAAGTAGTATACTTTTTCTTTCTTTTTGAACATTCCAGGAAGCTGGTTCAGAAGGTGGAAAAATTCAACTGCACTTTGAGGAACTGCTAAAGAGCAATACAGCATTATTTGTTGTAAGCAACAACTCTTTTGGATAAAGATACTTGTCTGCATAAAAATTGCTCTAGCCCATTGTTTTGTGTGTTGGATTGTTGCTCTCTTGCTTCCACATGTTGTAACTTCATCAGTTGGTTGTGTTTATCATTTTATTTTACCATGCAGGAAGAACTGCTGATGGAGCATTTTTCTGATTTGATCAAGTTTGTGAAAACAAGAGCCTGTAAGTTTTTTTTGATTTAGGATTGAATTTGTCTAAATTCTTTTACTTTAGAAGAAATTGAACTTATATGTGCATTATGTATCAGCGGATGACCCAAGTTCTAGCTCTGAGAGGCCAATATCCGTGGCTGAAGTTGAACCTCTTGTCAAGGATTTTGCTAGCAGATGGAAAGCTGCCATAGAGCTGATGCACAAAGATGTCATTACTTCTTTCAGCAACTTCTTGTGTGGAATGGAGATCTTGAGGGCTGCATTGACCCAGCTGCTGCTTTATTATACCAGACTCTCGGATTGCATAAAGAAGATTGTTGGTGGATCTGCCCTAAACAAGGATCTCGTGTCTATATCTTCAATCATGTATGAAATTAAAAAATATTCAAGGACATTCTAGGGTATAGTTTGTCTTCTTAGGAAGGAAAATTTCGTAGAAGTTACTAAATGTACTTATAGAGTTCACCATTGAACATAGATTGAGCTGAGCATTCAAATTGTCTTTGATTCCAGTGTTTATAATTATGTAATGTTTGCCCTTAATCATTCCAACAATTTTGAGATTGTCCTGTCTTCACAATATTAGATATTTTTTATGAACAGAATATTGAAGTTGATGATTCCTTTGCCATATGCCGAGTGTTAAAACAAGTTTACTTCCAATTTGCAGCAAACTAAGAGGGATGATCTTTAATATTTTCTGCTGGACCTGGGTAACGATAAGCCTTCTGAGACTAAGACATCAAAAAACCTTCCCTCAAAGGATTAGTAGTTTGGCATGATATAGATATCAATAGAAGCACTAAGCAGAGAACACTCACTCTAATTCTTTAAAAATGCATCTGTTTTTGCATTTTATTGATCTGCCTCCCAAAAATGGGAGTTTACAAATGCTTCAATTACCCCCAAAAGCCCTGGAAAAAACCAGTAAATGAGAATGAGAATTCAATAAGACACCATCCCACATAGTGTACAAGTTACTCCCATAGCATTCATCCAAGTTATAGCTTCCACCATGCTAAACCCAAAAGAGAGAGATTGTTAAAAATCAAGATGTCTTCTGACAAGCAGACCAAGATTTCCTCAACTGCCCCCAAAGACTGGAATCAAAAACGAAAAACTGGACTTTCATACCACTATCTGGCTGCACAGGATGGCAGATACATCAACCTCAAATGTTGTCAGCAAACAATGGAACTATGGAATCACAGAGTTTGTAAGGTTACACCAAGCATGAAAATACACCTGCAACACCTACAACTGCTTCTAGCTGCCATTCATCCCCTCAACAGACTCAATTCTGGTTTCACTGTCGGTTTCAGCACTTTGGTTTATGGGTTCACTGACAAGTGGACGCAAATCTTCTGTTCTTGAGCCACCACTCATTTCACTTGATGGTTTTTCTACATTGTCCTCATGGAGCCTAAGGGTTTGAGCAAGATTATTGGCCATTTGATTTATGGGATCATCAGATATCACATCTGTGGTTGAGTTGGCTTGCTGTCTAGCCTTCTTGTCCTTCAAAACTCTTTCCCGATCATCATAAAAGC